CCTTTTTGAATGCATAGTGGAGAGTGCAGTGTCTCCCTTCGTACTTCATTGCAGAAGCCCAGTTGGCCCCTTCATGCTCAGGGCCAAGGGCACCTGTATGTTCCGGGGCCATCGGCCCAAACTGAAAAGATGGCTGGAGTTGACCCCCTAAGAATGACGTCAATCTGTAAGCTCCAGCCTGGGAGACTGCCGCCACGAGCCCATCCGGCACCCTGCACGGGCCCTAGGATGGGGGCACGGAGTCAAACGAGAGGCTGTGGTCCGTACAGGACACAGGCTAAAATGCGGAAGTACTGACTTGACAGACACTTCCAGGCCAGGCTCTTGCTAAAGCCTGAAAAATTTGGATGTGTTAGCGAATCCGCCCATGTGTTCAGGTCTCGCTTCATGCGCGAAGGAGCCAGCTGAAGACTTGCCCGATGGAGCTGAAGAAGCATCTCCATCAGCATGAGGGCTGTGTGCAATTTGCGGGTGTTCTGGTTCAGCATCGAGAATACATTCCGTTGACTTGGTTGTTGGAGACCATGGAATTTCAAGGTTTGGCAAAGTCACAGCACCATCGTCCTTCACGAGGAACTTGGCCAGGAGTAGAGAGCCGAACATCTCGAGCGCGCCGATCCTGAGTTTTGGGTCTCCTTTCTTGAACGCCCACACGTGCCTGTCCGCCGTGACCATGTAGTGGAACCGGAAGACCTCCTCCTTGCGGGGTTTCTCCTTGTTGGTGAACCAGCCGACAAAGGTAGGCATCATCTGAAGACGAGGCACTGGCATCTCTGGCACCATGGCTTGGCGAAACTGTTTGTCAAACACGCGCATCAACAGCAAAGCAAGGACTCTGACCACCATTGGGGGTCATCTGGGGTTTTGCAAATTCTGGCTGACGTCAGCACTTTGCCTTCGGCCAGCTCCTGGGTGACCAGGATGTGTTTTGGCTTCGCCATCTGCACGATCGGGCCCTTCGGGTTGATCACAAAGCCCAACCACGCGTTGGTCTTCTTCCAGCTGAGCGGTACCCACAGACAGAGGAGAACCACGCAGATGCTCACAGCCAGGAGCGGAGCATTCTTGGCGCGCCTTCTAGTTCAGCCACTTGATACTTCCATTCTGCATGATCCGCCTGTGAGCCTTGGTAACGTCTGCCTGGAGGATGACCCAGGAGTCATCAGTCTGCGGCCAAGTCCACTCAGACTGTGAGCAGCGGTCTGAGGGGGCAACCAATTTGGCTGCCTGTAGCAAACGCAGGAAGTGGACACAGCCCATGCCATAACGGTGAGCGCTGTGGTTTTCTCTTCTGCGTTTGCTGAACATGTCCATTTGCTCCACCACGGGAACCATCAAAAATGGCGCGAATCTTATCAAGCTCACTGACCCCGACAAAGATCATCAGGCGCACAGTCACACTCCTTTGCTGCCATGTCCTTACTCAGAGGCCCAGACACCATACCCAGGCCAACTTCTTCCATGAATGCGGAGCGGATCTCTGCCAAGTAGGAGCGCGCAGAGGAGTAACTCGGGTGGCCCGGTGGAACGACCGGAGGGGCCCATTCCCTTGTCAGCTCTGCTTTCAGCGGCCAGATCCCTCAAGGAAAACCATCTGCGAGAAGGTCCATGGTAGCCGGCGTCTGGATCGCCACTTGCACGCAGAAAATGCTTGATCACATCCAGGAAGAATGGCTGTCCTTGCAGGCGCTTCATGGTTGGGCTGGATGAAAGACTTCTGAATCACTTCTTCAGGAAACGGATGATCCTTTGCTCCTTCCAAAAAGACTGCTGGCAGGTACCTACAAAGTCCTTAGCGATGTCCAAGATGAAGGAGCCCCTGCTGAGAGCGAGACGGTGGTGCGGCGGTGGCGAGACGAGTCTTGAATCCAAGCCTTATCCACACAATCTCAGTAGGGGAACGCCTGGGATCCATCAGAGGATAGCTAAACCATCCTGAGGAGGGCTTCTGCTGTTGCCCGAGCGGCAGAGGAGAACAGGCAAAATGCTGTTCTAAGGTGGCAGCGTTGCACGCGCCCTGCTCACTTTGATGACGTTGGAGGACCCAACGCAGCCCCTTTCGGCAGCGGCGCACTACAGCAAAATGTGTCCACGCCTTCCAACCTGATGTTTGGAACGGAGCTTGAATTGGTCCTGCAGCAAGGTGTCGCTACCGGCACTCCAGGCGGGGCTTCGGGACACCCGTTGCTTTGGCCCAATCATTAAGCAGTTGTTGTCAGTCACAGAGGGCTTCAAGTCCTTTTGAGGGAAGTTTGAACCTGTCGTGGGCGATGGCTTCATTGAGACATGGATGTTTTTTTCGCCATTTCCTTGGCTGCCCTGACCACCTGGGCCAGACGCATGGCTGCGAAGGATGATGTCTTATCCGCGCAGCCGTTATCTCCACAACGAAAACCCGACTGAGCAGGAGGGTCACGTCGACATTTGTCTGCATCTTCCCACCTGTTGGCTGTTGGCTACGTCTTCAAAGGCGGCGTGCCCACCAGTCGCCAGCTCGGACTGGATGAAGTAGGGTATCTGCCTATTGGTGAAGAGTGTGGTCACCGAAATGCGTAACTCCGCAATCTTGTCTTTGTAAGGATCAGGCACCGGGTCTGGTGGCTTGGCAAGTTCCTGTCTGACTGCGGCCTGGTTTCCAATCACAATGACCTCTTGAGCCAAAATGGCAAGGCCATTTTGGCATGTTCCCGACATATGCCTTGCATTCAGCAGGCTACAGCAAGTGAGCAAACGTCAGATAACAGCATGAAAATAGCCCCCTCAAAAGCACGCTCCCTTTATGAATGCATGGCGGAGAGCGGCGGCAGGCGCAATGTCTCTCTTCGTACTTCATTCCAAAAGCCCAGTTGGCCCCTTCACACTCAGGGCCACGGGCACCTGTACCTGCACGTTCCGGGGCCATCGGCCCAAACTGAAAAGATGGCTGGAGTTGATGCCCGCCTAAGAATGACGCCACCGAAGGAAGGGCAGCATACTCCAGCCAAAAGCAGGATGCCATGCTGGCTGAGGTCCAAACACGCTGCTACGCTCAGGCTCCTGCCGGCACACTGTCCGAGTCATTGTTGGGAATGTCCGTGGGCTTGACGGCCTTTGAAATCGTCGCCACTATGAGAGGTTACCAGATCAAGCGACCAGGAATCACTCGCAGCAATGGCAGCCGCCGCGGTGGATAGTAGATCCTTTGGCCCAGGCAGACGGCAAGCTGAAGGCCTTGAAGCACCAAAACACACCGGGCGCTTCTCCTTGTCAGCTCAGTAGTCCGTAGGCTCGAGATCCTGGATCTTGCCCGACTTGGGTTTCTTTGACGTAAGACGTGAAACCTCATCGACAGCAAGCATCCCGAATCTCGTGGAGAACCACTTGAGCGTGCCCCAGACTTGCTGAACCTTGCTCTGCTAGGAGTGAGTTTCTTGTAGCGCGTCCTGTTGAGGAGGTCCTCACGCCACGGGATAGTTTCACCCCCATCCGCGCTGCACCTCCTCCAAGCTGAAACAATGCATCCGAATGGCGCGGAACATGGCATCTCCAAGAAGGTCCAAGAATTGACCCATGAGCGCAGCAGGTTCCGGGCTTGAGGAGCTACCAACTGCAGCCATGTAGGGGATGCGCGCCGCCGCCGGAATGAGATGTGAGAGGAGATGCCCCCTTCTGTCGAAGCGCACGCTCAAGCTCCCTCTGTTTCAATGGTCCTGAGGTAGAAACTTGGCCCGGTTGCCCACTTCCAGCTGAGGTCCATGTGGGGGGTGGAGTTCCACTGGTCAATGTCGCATTGCTCCCGCATCCGGCGCTTGTGAGAAGGAGGGTGACAGCCTGGCCAGCGCGGCGGCCATGGCCAGGTGCCATAAAGCTGCCATGTCATTGCGCAAGGCCACGTCGTCCTGAAGGTGCGGGCGGAGGCACCTGAGTCTCGAACATGAGCCTTGCAAGGCACTCCGGGCATTCCTGGCAAGAGATGAAGTCATCACACCTTTGTCCAAAGCAGGCCTAGGCACCAGAAAAAACAAGCTGGGTCCGGCCTGCTGTCAGCTAAGGCCAAAGCCACAAAGAACTCCCCGTCACTCTGTGTGGGGCTTACACCGTTCTCTCAGCCTGGACAGCAAGTAGATACAATTTTTCTGCTGGAGTTGGCCGCGCCAACTCAAAGGATCCGGGCCCGGCAGTGAGCCAGACATAGGGACCTTAGGAGGGAACCCACCCCTCAAGGCCAAAGGCACTCACAGGCCGAGCGGTCAACAACCTAAGCGAACAATCTAAACTCGCGGAGCTCATCCAGGAGCGTGCAACTTGAAGCTGGCAAGGCACTGGTGGAGGGCACCCCCATCCTGGAACCGTGGCTAGGCTCTCTCAAAGCCTTCGGTACATCAATTTGCGCAAAATTGAATCGGGGTTGAGGTGGGCGCCATGAAGCCCCTGGCTGGCCAGAAGAGGGGGAGGCAGGCTCACTCCTGGCGCTGCCCAATCTGCCCAATATGGAGCCACGCTGGGAAAC